AAACAAACCCAATAAGAGCTACACACACGCACACACACACAACTACAGACTACTGAATATGAGCAAGAGACTTACCAGTATGAATAAGGATGTGCCTCTTGAGGTGGTAACTGCTCCTAAAGGCTCCAAAGCAGTGTTCACAAATAAAATTTTTGGGAATCTTTACTTGAAAAGAACCATTTTGTTCCACCACCACCACCTAGGGGCAACAATCAGGCATGTCATAAGGCTATCCCTCAGCCGCCTTTTTGTCCCCATTCTACTCTGGGTCAATTTCCAGTTGCTGGACAAAGTAATCTTTCTGATGTTGTCATCTCCCCCATTCCCTAGAGTTAAGAGACCCTCTGAGGAAGGAGATGGGCATGGGTAAACTGTCTGCCCCATCAAACCCAACACCTCTGAATGTGACCTGAGGTCTGCCTGCCCCTTTGCCACAGGATCCCATGCTTCCCTGGCCCTCCTTCCTTTACCAAGGATGTTCTGGAGAGGGCAGAGATCAAAGACCAAAGTGGCCTATGGAGGAAATAAGAGTGACACACTCATTAGCTATGAGTGACCAAAACATCTAGGGAAAACTCCAGGTTGAGCCACAGACGAAAGAAAAGGAATTACCCCATTACCAAACGGTACCAGTTTGGGGATTACCCCATTACCTGCCTTTTTAACAGTCTTCTTTGAATGAGAGGCCTCAGCCAAGCTGTCATCATCTTTGCGACTCCGGGACTTATCGCTGTCTTTTCGGTGGCCCTTTAAAAATAAATCAAAGCTAAACTCACAGTCTATCTCCCCACACACGACAGGAAACCAAATGCTGTGCTGCAGACAACTTCTAAATGACAGTAACCACCTGCCCCAAAGGTTTAGAGAAGGTACTCATCCATTTCCTCTCCAAGTACTATGGTGTTAAGGGGTTACAGGTAAAGTCCTTCCTTAGCTCTCTAAAATACCCACATTCATTCATTCCCCAGCTGGATCCCTTTTTCCCACTTCCCTAAACAGAAGCACTGAGGAATCAAAGCTTGGCATCTCCTGGCAGAGAGCTTGGGCCACCCGACCCCCAGGTGCCACAATGGACTCAAACGCTGTACCTGACTTGAGCACCTCAGCACATCAGGGCTACCTGCCCGCTCTCCATTCTCGGCCTGCTTGCTGGCAATCTGGCTCAGCATCATCTTCTTGCTGGCTGCAGTGGGAACCAAACTCACACCTGCTAGGCCTTCACAAGCCAGGAGACTTGCCTAAGTTGAAAGGAGATGAGGTGTCAGGTCACCTGGCAGGGCAGGGCAAAAACAGGCTGCCATCTTCTATAGAACTACCTTTCACACCCAGCCACAAACAAACTGCTTCTCTAGGGAGTGTCCCTCTCTACTGCAAAACTCTGCTTCCTTCAAGAGTCCTCCCTAACTCACCTCACCAGGAACAAGTTACTTGTTATACATCAGCATTTAAATACAAATCAAGTGAATAACCAAGTATTATTGACACTTTTGTCATTAGCAATGTGCTAGGACCTGTTACCAGGTACTTGGCCTTGTGAATGGGCAGGAGGGTCTGCCCTGCTGATCCACTGAAATGGGAGATTTCTAGCAGAATTTCCTCCTTCCTCTCTCACCAGCAGGTTCAGAGGCCACTTATGATTGGCAGACATCACTGGTGCCAAATATATATTCTATCAGGTCCCAAAAGCATGTTTATCAGCAAAACTAAGTTATTTCTCCCTTTAGATTTTAAATTCCCTAGGTGTTGTCAATTTTAACAGATATAAAAATTAAGTCACTTGGAAGGATTTTAGGGTTGAGTATCACTTTCTCTTGACCTCCAAGGCCATTTATTTGTGTGCAAATCCATATATTTTCACATTCTCTACTCTATGCATAGTTTAAAAAAATTACTTAAACAAGGAATGATTAAAAAAATTTCCTCTTTTCATGGCTACATTCTTCAAACTGACTTTGTTTAGCCAGCACTAGAGAATATACTTTTCTTACTGAAAAAACTTTTTTTTTTTGAAGAAACACTTTAAAGAAATAGTTGATCAGCAAACTTCCACAAGTGATTTACTAAAAAAATTCCTTTTAAAAATACTCTTAAAAAAAGAAATTCCTTTTAGTATATCCTGGGACTCCTTCTTTTCTTTCTCCTTCAAGGACTTTGGACAGAAAGGTCTAGAGGTGGAAAGCTTAGCTCTGCTGTTTGTACTGTATAATCCTGGGCAAATTACTCCACCTCTTCAGGCCTCAGTTTCCTTATATGCAAAATGTTTATGAGAGTATCTACTCTCACAGGGTTGATGAGAATAAAACTAAGATACAAATGCCTAGCAGTGCCCAGTACAAAGTTAGTGATTAGTGAGAGGCAGTTTCTCAGAACAAGAGTGAACATGATGCCGTGAAGTGGGTTGCAAACAAAGGAAGAAGAAACCGAGGGCTCCTAATCTGCAAGGAAAGAAGGAAGCCATGCATGCAGCTGGAAGAAAGCCAATTAAACTCTAATCAGGCTGCCATCCTGGTGAGACTGGTACAGGAGGGTCCCTGCAAGAAAGCTGGGAGAAGCTCTGGGGATGCCCGCACATGGCTTTGCTATCCACACTTACAGCAACCTAACAGATCATCCTGTCTCTCCAATCCATCCTCTCCCCTCACAATGACAATTACCTTCTAAATACACTGATCTGATGTCACTCTGCTGCTTAACATTCTTCAGAGAGTTCCCATTCATTCAGAATAAAGTCTAATTCCTTAGCAAGGCATAAAAGGCCCTTGGGTTATACTCTTAACTTCTCCAGGAAACAACTCCCTCACCCTAAACTTTTCCCTCTATCACTACCTACCCTATCCCCCTAATCCATTTAAGCCCCTTCCTCCTTAACTAGCAAACTGTCTGCAGTACTCCTAACCTCATCACATTCTCCCATGCCTCTAAGCCTCTGCCCATGCAGTTCTTCTCCTTGTCTGAATGTCCTGTTCTGCTTGTTTATCTAGCAAAATCCTATGCATTCTTCAAGCTTCACCTGCTTTCTTCCATCCAGGCAGAGGTACCCTTCTCTCTCCTCTGCAGTGTACATACCTCTATTATTGCATGTTCCTTCAATCAACAGATTCATTGAGTCTCTGCTGCTAATCAACCACTATGCAAGGTATTGTGAATATAAAGGTAAATAATAGACTGTCTCTCCATTTCCCCCCACCCCAACCCAACTATCCTGGAAGCTTGCTGGGGATGGGGACAATCTTACTCATCTTTGTATCCCCAGCATAATGCCTTGCATGAAACAGGAGCTCAATTAATTCCTGTTGAAAAAAAAAATGAAGCATTCACCAGACTGTTCACTCCCTCATGCCCCTCAGCACTTAACGTACCAAGTGTAAACTGAGTAATTGTTTCACAAATGTCCCATCAGTGCCTGTGATGCAGAATAGCCTACCTCCTTCATTTGACTGGAAGCTCCCTGAAGGCAGGGGCTGTGGCCTGTCTCCTTTCCTTCCTCTAGATCTCCCCCTGGTGCTTAATACAGAGCTTGGCTCACTGGGTTGGTCAATATGTTGACTAAGGCAGCATTCAAGAGTGAAACTGCAAACACGTTTCCCAGTGATCTTGAAGGAGGAGGATTCTATAGCTTTTTACCTGAGCCATGCTGATTTCTCACTTAATGCAACCCAAAAGTTCAGGAGTTTCTTGATCCACCTTTCCTAAGACACTGTTGTTTGAAGAACTGTCACCAAATCACTGTAACAACTCTTTTGTGTCCCTTCCGTCCTGCTGCCATATTGAACTGCCTTTGTCTTCAAATAGATCTTAGTGTCCTCCAAAGGGAAGATAGATGTTCCAAGAATCCCTGGACTCTGCCTGGCTCCTGTCTATGATCTGAAGAAAAAGTCTGCTGGTGTTCGTTTTCCAACCGAATCCTCTCGTTGAAGTTCACGATCTGTTTCAGAAACCTGAAACCAGGAAAGGAGATGGGGCTGTTAGGTGCAACATTCTCAGGCCATTCGACCTGCAGTAGGCTGAACTTTTTTTTTTTTTTGGTGGGCGCTCTCTGTGAACCTCAGGAAGAGGGCATTAGTTAAGCAGAGTTTTCTTTCTAGGTCAGAAGAAACTGGTCTCCAGGGCAAAGAGGAGCTGCCAACGGGAGTAAAAGTAACTGGGGCCTCTCATGGAAGAACTGCAACAGGCCAACTGCTCGGATTTGCCATCTTACGAATAGAAGAAGGGGGCGGAGGCCCTCCCGGGCTTTTGTGCCGAGTGGGCCGGGCCGCGAAGCTAGCACTCTATTAAGGAGGCCAGAACTGGGGTGGAGAAAAGCTCAGAGGCTATCGCTGGACGCCTGAGTAGCAAGTCAGCAACCGGACTGGCAGTGTGCGCTGGGCCGGCCCACACGTGCGCGTTCTCCGAGTCCGCCCGAAGGTACGGAAACTCGCTGCGGAGGAAGGCAGGCAGGCGGGGGCCGGCGCTCCGCGTTCCCTCCTCCCTCCTCCTCTTCCAGCCAGCCAGCCAGCCAGCCAGCCGCAGCGCCCCGCCGCACGGAGCCGGAGGAGAGCACCGAGGAGCGCGCGAGGTGCGTGCTCGCGCCCGCGTCCCCGCCAAACAAGCCCCCGTCCGCCCGACCGCTAACGCGGCCGGACTGGCGGGCGGGGGGCGGTGCGCGCGCGCGGCCCCTTCCCCTCCCCGGCGAGCCCCCTCCCTTCGCCACGCGCCCCTCCTCCCTTCCCCTCCCCCTTCCCGCGCGGCGCCCCACGGCCTGCGAGCAGCTGAAGCGCTGCCGCCTGCCCGGAGGACGCTGCGTTCCCTGAGGCGTGCTCCTACCTGCCAGGCGCGGCCTCCCGCTGTCTCCCCCACCGCGCGGCGCCTCCTCCAGGCCCCAGCACACCGTGCCAACCCCGTGGCCGCCGCTGCCCGGCCGGGACCGAGGCAAGTTTACAAACACCAACCCGGGGCCCGTTTCCCCGGAAGCACTTCCCCCTCCCCTCGTCCTCTCAGCCGAGCAGCAATATCCACTTCCGGGCTCGGAGCCTGGACCGGCGAGAGCAGCCAGAAAGGGGGTGAGGCTGAGGACGCTGGGAGGGGGTGCAGCTGGTGAGTGGGCGGTGCCGGCGCGCGGAAGGACGGGAAGGGGGCGGACCGGCGGTACGACGCGTGCGCCGTGGTACAGGCGCGCCCCGGCGGCCATCTTGACTGAGGGCAGGAACGAAGACCCTGAAGTGACGTGCGCTGGGTGCTAGGTTTTGCTAGGTGGGCTGGTTGAGGCTCCTTGAAAAAACGCCATCAGTTTCCCTTCGCGGACGTTCTCCCTGTCGCATCTGAGCCTGCAGCCCCAAGTAGAGCCTGAATAGTTCGTACCCAGCCTTTTCACGTAACTCAGCCGAGGTCCTCTTTATCTGAAAGTTTTCTATCAGGCCCAGCTCTGCAGATTCTGGGGCCGCCCAGTCAGCTGGGAGAGAAGTTAACTTTCTTTAAACGCTTCTTCCGTGTACACTGAATCCGGGCGCGTCCCGAGGTCGGTCTGGTTAACTTGCAGCGCTTACCCCTTCATTCCAGACTTTCCAGCGTCTGACATTGGCCTTCTCGCCTGGAAAAAGCCATAGGACTCCCTTCGGTAGAAGACTAGTTTCATTAGCGATGTAGGGTGGCCCCCGGGTCCAGCGTTAAAAAATGGAAACTTGAACTTTTCTTTAGAATCTCCCAATCTGAGCTATTAGGAGAGGTTCCGCTAAAGATGGATTATGCCAAGTGTTCTTAATGGAAGGAAATGTCAGTCCATTTATGTCTCAGCTTCTGCTGTAGGTGCTGTCAGGTTGTGAGTTTAGGAGGATTGAGATGCCAAAAGAAAAAAATACTTATTTATGGAAAAGAGGAATTCCCAACTACTCTTTGTACACGGGTTTCATTTCCCTGAGCACTTTATGTTTTGAGCCATTGACAGCAAATCTTTGTGCTCTTAGACTCATGATAAAATTGAGATAAAAATAGAGAAACGTTATTAGAAATAAGTCTTTAATTAAAAAAAATTATCTCATACTTATTTTGACAAGTCCGCACATACATAAGAATAAAAGGTAAAAGTGTTAAGTTTCCTTTTTCTACTATCCAATGCTCCTGGAGATAGTCACTTTTATCAGTTTGGCAAATACACTTCCAGACTTTTTTCTATGTTCATACAATTTTTTTTTTCATCCAGAGTATATTTATTGAGCAACTACAGTGCTGGACACTAGTGTTACATTGTAGATATCTAAGTTCTTTAACATTTTAACAATTGTTACATAATATTCTAACTTATATTTGTACTTTGATTTGTCTAGACTCATCCTGATGAACATTTAGGTTAGTTCCATTATTTTTTTAAATAAACAATGCCATAAGGAACATCTTCCTCTAGTCATCCTTTTGCATTTATAGATTATTTATAGATAGAATATGTGCATTAAAAATTTTTTTTTAAGATTTTATTTATTTATTTGACAGAGAGAGACACAGCGAGAGAGGGAACACAAGCAGGGGGAGTGGGAGAGGGAG